TCCAGTCCAGGATTACTTCTTTGTTATCTGGCTTATTTGTTCAAGTGTTCTAGGGTGGAAAAACATGCTGCTTGTTCAAATCTGAAAAGAGAAAAAATAAAATACTGGGCACCCTATGGTAGTCCCTGGAAAATTTACCACTCCACACTGAGACTATTCATGGCTAGTGGATGAGTACATTTAAAGAAGTACACACACATAGCAATGATTTAGACCTTAAGAGAATGGCAGCCCCATTTCCACCTACACTGACTCTGCTGAGACTTTTGCTGGTGACAAATTTGGGGGCTCTAGTGTAGGTCTGGCTGCCAGCTGGTGTTGGGATAGAATTTTCCCTCCAGAGTAATCAATTACAGTTTCCCAAGATGAGCTCATGGAATACTGCCAGCACAGTGGGTTGAAGAATCTGGAAGCTGCAACTTATTCCCAGATGTAGGGGTCATCCCATGTACGTGTGGTGATGATGAACGAGAAGCACAGAGAAGAAAAAGTGACTATCGAAAGTAGGCCTTTAAGAAAAAAAAATAGTTACAACACAGGCAACAATGATACTACACACAAATTTTCATGGGCTAGGTGTTGTGGAAGAAATTGTAGATGGATTTCCAGGAACCAATAGAAAAAAAGTAATTTTAGATATATTCTGTTCAAATTCCCTAATTAATAAGCAACACCTTTTTTTTTTTTTTTGAGAGGTTTTTGCTATAGGGTGCATGCTCTCACCAGAAAGACAGAGAGAGAGACAGAGAGAGAGACAGAGAGACAGAAAGTGAGAAATCACCCCTCAGAGGGGATGGCCATGCCACAGTCCCTTCTTCATTCTCCTCTTGGGATCTTGGGCATGCACACACAAGCGCCTGGCATGAGTTTAAGTCACCAGGTCCAGGACTCCAATCCTGATTGACTACAGTTTGCGTCCTGGACCTGGTGGCTTAAAACTCACGCCAGGCGTGTGTGCGTGCATGACCAAGATCCCAAGAGGAAAATGGAGGAGAAGGGATTGCGGCATGGCCATCCCCCCTGGGGGGCAATTTCTCACTTTCTGTCTCTCTGTCTTGCAAGCGCACACGCCCTATAGCAAAAAAAAAAAAAAAAAGAAAGAAAGAAAAAAGAAAAAACCTCTCCAAAAAAAAAAAATAAAAAGTAACGCAATATATATTTTTTTCCCTTTGCCTCAGGCTCCAGTCTGGCTGAGCTCTACTGGTTCAGAGCATTGGCTAGAAGACTTCTTCAGACTCATATGTCAGTCAGTGCATTTTGCCTAAGAGATTTGGCTTTATGGCTTGAACTTTCAACCAGTGCACTCTAAGTGGAAAGATCAAGGTTTGAGCCTTGCTGAAGAAGCTATCAGGGGAAGCCTCTCTTACCCAGATCTGTAAGTGGGTTAAGACAGAGCAGATGTGCAGTTAGGAGAACAGCAGCAGCAGGCCAAATCCCATACCCTGGAGAGGAAAATCCAGCTGGGCTTGAAGAAACTGATTGTGAAATACTGAGATGGACAGGCTATTGTTGGGAGAAAAATAACAACAGCTGAGCAGGCAAGTGGGAGTCAGGACTGAATGTATCTCTGACTTAGAAAAGGGCTTTTATGAACTCCAAGAAAAATGATGTGCAGATGAGCAAGTCACTCCATGAAAGGCCCTAAGAATAGAGTAGACAGGCATCCTGGACCACAAAGGCTTTGTTCCAAATCACCTCAGATAGGCAATCTACAAAACTAGGACCTATAATTTATGAACACACCATACTTCCCTATCTCCAGAGAAAGGATGAGTGCCTTATTCGCTTACATAATTCTGCCTACGCCCCTGCCCCCACAAATATTTGGCTCCTGGAATGGGACAGGGTGGGTTGATAGCTCACTGGAGACAGGGTGGACTCAGGCTTATGGACACAGAAATATTTCTTCCTGCTAAAAAACAGTTTGGTAAGAATATTCCACTAATTAGACTCCTTATCTACTGTTCCTTTTGCTTTTAACAACCTTAATCATTGGCTGGCGCTCAATTGATTGTCTTTAGAAGGGTGAATGTTTTTGTTCAGAATAGTACAACAGACACAGCAAGGGGTTGCAGATGGGGGTGGGGAGAAGGTAAGAGATAAATTTCCAATAAAGGAAATATGGAATTTTACTTACAAACAAATGGAATGCAAAAGCTGTTGGAATTTCATACCAGAGAACACCCCAGTGGTCTTTCCCGAATATCTGAACATTGCTGCCTGTTGCAGTACTATCCAGGTTAACACAAGAAATTTTTCCCCAGGCATCCAGGTAATAGAGAAAACATGCTACTCTGATTTCCAGGGAGATTCGCCTAACAGGTCTGGAGATGCGAGGTTCTAATATCTGCATTTCTCACTAATTCACTGAGCTTCACCAACTCAGTGATTTTGATGAGAAATATTCTATTTTATTTTGGCTCACCAGATTTCACAGACTGTAATACTATGTGAAATACTGGAGGCTTCTCTCTCTCTGGCTCCACCTCCCACATGTAAAGGCTTAGGCATGGAGCCAGCTAACTTGCTTGGCTATTGGCACCTTGAAATGGAAGTAAATCCCTACTCCTCTGATTTATTATTTCCTGTTCTTCAAAGAGGGGGGGAAAGCAGCAACGCTTGAAGTATTTAAGCATTTAGTCACTGTACAGATCCATCTCTTGTCTCACCCCCATTTCAGGGGAATAATATTTTTTTCCCTGAGTTACATAAGGCATGATAGAGAGTATTTCAGAACCCCATCTGCCTCAGGACCAATTTCTCGTGGTAAATCTCTAGAACACCTTTCACATTTTCTAAAATAAGTGCCCAGGATTCGGAAATAGGTCTTACAGTGTGGGCAAACTCTATATCACTCATGTGTTAACCTTACCATCACTTCCCTCTTTCCATCATCTCTCTGTCTTCAGCTCCAATGCAGGCCTATCCAAATCATAGATGCAGCTCTGTGTGTTTATTTAAGTAGTGCTTTTTCATTCCTGGGATCTTTGGTAGTGAAATTCAATATTAAATCAAAAATTTTAATATCACAGGAACGAGGTTCAATTTAACATGAACTGGATAATTTCATAATTAGCCAAAGGACTGAATTCATTACCCACTGGGATTTCCCTAACATCATCTCCCAAGAACAAGGCAGTTAGAAACAATATTTATCCCTGGAGCTTTATACATATTTGTGTGTGAGTGTATTTATCACTAAATGTCCAAGAGATATGCATAGAAATTAAGATCAATTAATATATCTGCAACTTAATTCTGCTAATGGTGGTACAATGAAGGGCAAACTCTTGTAAGACTGAGTTGGTCTTTGTTCTTGTAAGTGACTGAGAGCTCTGGGCTTCTGTCAGATATTTTGGTGCAGGAACTATGCTTTGTCAGCCTACGATAGTAGAGACAGATGAAACTGGGCTTGAATATTCTCCTTTTCCCCTTTTCCTTCTCCAGTCTGTATCTTAAATGATTTGGACTCACACTTGGCTTCAACTTCATCTATTTTTTTCATCAGCTCATCTCTTGACTTATTTTTGATCTCTAGATATTAGGATGTAAGACAATGATTCCAAACTAGTGGCTCTCAACTTATTTTCTACTTTTCACCTCTTAATATGACCAGCTTTCAATTGCATCTTGGCTTGTCTGCTTTTCTCAGATTGCTTCTTGATTCTGGGAATGCCTACTCGTGTCACAAAAAGTTCAGGCATCTCCAATCTATGAGTACTCAGTTTTAAGTATCCACATGTATTAATAAACATGAGAAAGTCTAAAAGTAGACCCTAGTATATGCAGGCGCACAGACATTCACTCTTTTTCATAAATGGAACATTCCTGGACAGTGATTGACAGATATATTTGCCTTTATAAATCCAGAAATACAGCCCCTACCTAGGTTTGTAAGTCAACATTTTCTCATACTCATCTAAAAAGCATCCTAATATTCAATTAGGTATATGATTCTTTTTAGCATATGATTCTTTTTGTCTATAATTTTGGGACCAGTCAAATATCAAAGCTATTGAGTCCCTGGGTTCCCATTTGAATTTTATTCAAGTTCAATTCTATCTAGAATGCCTTTCTCTACTGCTCTTACCTTGGAATAAGTCTTCTAGGCCAACCAGTGGTGTGGTAGTTAAGGCAATTGAATCCCATATGGACAACTACACAATTTGAATCCTGTTTTGAAAAACACTCCAGGCAAATGTGCATGCATGCCCAAAATCCTGAAAGGAGGAAGAAATGGAAGAGACGGGATTGCCGTATGACCAATCCCCATGGGTGGTGCTTTCTCACTCTCTCTCTCTCTCAGATGAGCTCATGCACTCTCTGACAAAAATCACTAAAAAAGAAAAAAGGAAAGAAAAGGAAAGGAAAGGAGAAAGGAAAGGAAAGGAAAGGAAAGGAAAGGAAAGGAAAGGAAAGGAAAGGAAAGGAAAGGAAAGGAAAGGAAAGGAAAGGAAAGGAAAGGAAAGGAAAGGAAAGGAAAAGAAAGGAAAGGAGGAAAGGAAAGGAAAGGAAAGGAAAGGAAGGGAAAGGAAAGGAGAGGAGAGGAGAGGAGAGGAGAGGAGAGGAGAGGAGAGGAGAGAAGAGGAGAGGAGAGGAAAGGAAAAAGAAATAAGCCTTCTAGAAGGTGGTGCTTATCTACTGGCTAACTTTTCATTTTAATTGACAGCTTAGGATTCTAGAGCACTCCCTATATTTCACATTGTACTTCTGCCGGTGGTGTTTGCTGCGTTGCTGATTGCCGAGACGCTGTGTGTTAGTTGACTTTCTAGGGCTATTAGGGCTGTATTTGTCAGCAGTAGATCTGAATTTGTCTACACTGAGATATATTTCTTAATGCCATTTAAGATTTCCAGAAGATGGTAGAGCTCAAGAACTACCTAGAAGGATGTGCAGTATTGTAATAGAAATTAGAAGGAGAGAAGGAGAGAGAAAAGATATGGGTTAAGCTTGTCATTGAAACAAAGTATGTACAACAGAGTTGATAAGAAGCTTGATAGAAGGTCTAAGAACTAGTGAGTAATGGGACTTAGAGTAAGTCAGGAGTCATATAAAGAAGTTCATGAATGCTGGAATGAAGA